GTATTCGCCACAAGACGGCTATTTTCCTGTTGTCCTGAGAGGTCAAAATACGTGGACGGCCAGGAATAGGTTGTAAGCGATAGCTGCCATGGTCTGGAATGAATCTGGCAAGGCATGAAAAAGAGCGGCCCAGTTGCCGTTTTAAAAGTATGTGCACACTCGAGATTTTTCATTTCAAAGGTAACTAAAGAAACTACCACAAAACTTGGAGTTTGGAACAAAGAAAAAATTTTTCTTTAATAAAAAATTGTGTTAGCAGCTACGATGTTTTCTCAGAGAAAGTGTCCGTGGTCTATTACACAAGGAATTGAATGGTGCGGGTCACAGGTTACAGAAAGCAATGGTATTCCCAAAAAAACAAAATTTCGGGTGTGCACATACTTTTGAAACGCACTGTATATATCCATGAGGATCACCGGCATATTTCAACAGTTTTTAAATTTATGCGCCATAAGCCAAACATATGCGTAGCTATGAATCAGACCTACCTTCACACATCCGCTCGTTACACTTGCATCTGATACAAAACAAAAAGGAATAAGCAAACCCTGAAGCGAGTTTGAAAGTTCCTGGCAAAAGTGCCAATAAATTTTTCATTTTCAGGACAGAAAAACAGATTTAGTTAGAATGACTTCGACTTTCATTAATCTCAGCCCTCTTTCAGGGCTGAACACCCGTACTTCTTGGAACTATCGAAGGACTCTAGCAATTTCTACTTTCAGAATTCAAGATAACAGTCTTTGGAGTTTTTTTGGCGTTAATCAATCCTGCCCAATGATGAGCATTCGCCTTTCATTCAGAATCGAGTGGCGTATCGAAGGTACCAGTCTGAGCTCTTATGCTCTCAGACGAGTCTAGCCAGTTTAGACACTCAACCGAGCCAGGAGGGATGGAAGGCTCGGCTGGTTTGGCCTAGAAATCAAAGGGATAAATCACAAATTTTACTAGGAAAGGGAAACTCCAACATTTTCAGTCATTTGCGAAATACCCACGCACTCGACTCCCATTCAAAATTGCAGCGGCAGTTGAATGGGTCCACAGCCTTCACAGTGACTTGTAGGGGATCACGTAAAATTTAGATCAGCGCTCTCATCCCCCAGGATGGGTAGAGCACTAGCTGGTTGACCTTGCAGGCTTGCTTGGCTGGCCCATGAATATTGCTGCTGAAACTGATTCCTTGCTGATCTGTGTTTTGGCATCACCTTCACTTCGGCCCACCCAAATGTTACGAGTAATTATTACATGTCCAACGTGCTGCTAATCAAGCCCACGGATTAATGTGGTATGCCCAAACTGATTTCAGTCTAGCAAAACGAAGGCAAAAAAAACAGTATCTTTCTGTTTCCCACGAACTCATAGTGTTGCTGAAACGGAAAAATCCCATTAATTCTTTTTGCTTAACAGTCAGTGGAAATGGGTGTCATGGAGACTTGGAGCCTGACTATTGTAGCTGTTTCTTTCTTTGGGAAATGATACCCAAGTTTGCTTCTGTTTGGATGTTCTTTAGGAATGATTCATCTTTCCCCACGCTCCCTTCTCACCATCAGATTGGTCACTTTGAATGGATTTCAGGATCAATATTTCAAGGGTACAATTCCCATTTGCTGTAGGATTCTCCATTGGCAGTTGCAGTGGAAACTTTCTTTTTTTCTAAAATCACTATCAAATGGAGGTACCGGAAATTCCTACAACCAGCCCATTACTACTCAATTTCATCCATTAAGCCACTCACTCCGAATGAACGGATTGAAATCCCCAGTTGAGCCATAAGATTGCAAAATAACTCACAGCTTTTGTGCTTCCGTCATAGGAGCATTGAGTTCGATTTTACCTTTCAGATGCTCTTTCATGTGACTAAATTGATAGTTATTCATGAGCTGAATAAAAAGCGAAAACGGTTCTAAGAAAGTTGAACCTACGCTTCGTCATGAATTGCTTTATCATCACCGAAATTGTAAACTTGAGCATCTGAAAAGGCTGGAGTTTATAAAATTTTTAGGCCCTTAAATGTAATATGCAGATTGTTGCGGAGTCCTTTCTGATCTTACTTTCTTACAGTACCATTACGGATCAGAAAGTTGGATTGATCCGGCAAATCGATTCGGCAATCCGATTGAGAAAAAAAAGAAGGATAAATCGACGTTAACTCAGAACCGCAGTGGTTTGTTGGAAGGGCTTATACCACCACATGAGGTGGCCAGCCGATGTACAGGTTTTATTTTACCGAACGAGCCTGGTACCAATTAACCAATCTCGTAGAGATGGAACGCTTTGTTGGCTCAGGCGAGAACTTATCCTAGATTCGATCAACGGATCATGAGTCTATGGTAGTGCGCCACTTACAACTACACCACATCCGCTTTTGATGGTAATATTCTATGTGAAGCTATGAACGAAAGGCATTCTGAGTCTTAAACGAGTGTCCTTGAAACGAGGACGATTACTGGACCACTCTGGCTCGCGACAGAGACGAGTGGAGACGTTACTGGAAATCGATGATCAACGGGACGACAAGTAATACAGGTGCTACTTTTTGTAAAATTAACTTGCAACCTAGTCATATTGCTAAACTGGTCAACCTGCTTCATCATTAGACAGCCATCGATCAGTAAAGAATTTGTGCAGGGTACCATTTGTCAGCCTNGTGTCCTTGAAACGAGGACGATTACTGGACCACTCTGGCTCGCGACAGAGACGAGTGGAGACGTTACTGGAAATCGATGATCAACAGGACGACAGGTGATACAGGTGCTACTTTATGTAAAATTAACTTGCAACCTAGTCATATTGCTAAACTGGTCAACCTGCTTCATCACTAGACAACCATCGATCAGTAAAGAAATTGTGCAGGGTACCATTTGTCAGCCTGTATAAAGAGCTAGGAATATTCTGGAAGTTATAGACCCCACCTGTAGCACCAAATAACTGTGGCAGTGCACCAATTAAGAATAGGACGGTACAACGGTTTTGAGCTTGGAAAAAGGAGAGGCAGCTTACTGCATGTGAGCTTTCGTTGTAAAATCATTTGGCCGACATCATTTATCGGGCCAACAAATGAAAGTTGGTAACAAACTCACTGGTAATAGAGAAAAGTCCTGCCAGGAAGAGTAGTATTGCAGTCATCTGTATGAATGGGGTTGCGATCACAGGGAGCAATCGTTAAATTCGGAAGCTATCAGGGGTGGGAGCGGAATTATCGATTGCACCAATTGTTATGGCACAAAAGGGGATAAGCTGCACTATGAAAAAGTACCTTGGCAAATATATTCAGTCAATGGCTGGATTTGTGCATGCTACTGGCTGTTTCAATATCGAGCTAATCATTTCAGAAATCTTCCTTGGCATCCTGTAGAGACCTGAAATCTATTTCACATCTGGAACCCAAACCAGCATCAAGTACTATACTATATGTATGTTTACTTATTCATTTGATGCATTCGTAGTTGTAGCTATCACAGGAATTTCACCAGGTTAGAGCCACAGTTCATGATAATTTTGGGGTATCTAGTTTTGGACGAATAATGGAACGGATGATCTGGAATAGTGGCGATGAAAATGCGAAAATCGGGGTGTTGGGAGGAGCATACGGCTTCAAAAAAGTAGTTAAACTGGGGATTGGACAGGAATGGGACGTCGCTCCCTCCATCATCTTGAAGATGGGCTGACTCACTATCAGAGCTTCACGCACGCTTTCTTGAGCTTCTTCACAGCAAATTCATTCACTTTTATATAAACAAATCCATACACCTTTCTATAATACATGTTAAAATTTGGTCAGAAAGGGTGTAGTGGCAAGTGGCGCACTCCTCACGCGCATGGTCACAGGTTCAAATCTCGGATCGATAACCACCTAGGCCGAACACGATTTCCATCCCTCCGTGGCTGGTTAATTGGTACCAGACTCGTCTGGGAGGATGAAAGCACTGTTTTGTACATCGAATGACCACCGCAAGTCATTGTATAGGCCACATATGCATTCAGTACGCCTCTACGATTCTAAATGGAAGTCTAAGGCGGGAGCGCACCCTCCCTCCCCCCCTTACGGGGTAGAAGCCAAAACACTTTATACTTCTATCCTTTTCTGACAAATTTCAGTGTGGAATGTGCCACAAAGCAAGCGGGCAAGTCGTAGTTATAAGCCAAAAGTAAGAGGGGAGGCAGATCATCTAATTGCGGTAACTCCTAAATACATATATGCATTCCATCGTATATATACGTATGTAATGTGTATGTATGTAACGGTGTATCGGTGTATATTTGACGTGGAATCCATAAATCCTGATTCTCGGGACTTAGAGCTTAGACTGGAAAGGAGTACGGCGACAAGATGGAAACATCGATGTCAGCGGACAGAAGATGAGCTGTCATGAAGGCTGGGAAGGGATCTCAGAATTATTTCCTTCCTAAGCACAATATCTCCTTGACACCGGTGTCTTACGGGACGGTAGTTTAGATTGACAAAAAATGACTGTGTGCAGGAGTGAGGACCAGTAGGATGAAGATCATATTCAGTGCCACATAAAGATAAGAGAGTTTGGTCTCTGCCTTGTCTTAGTTTACGACGGCATTTCAAACTTTGTGATTCAATAGTGGACTGTGTTTTCCCTTTGTTCTCTCTTGTAAAGCTATGGCTATGTCTATAAGGTTTTACAGCCACTATTTTGGCCCATGCTCGCTTACTGCAGGCGGGCCTAAGTTTAGCCCACACACATACTTGCTTACCTTGGACCCTACTCCTATTCTGACTAGGTCTCCTTCCAAGCGATTCTTTGAGTCTTTTCCAAGTTAGTAAAAGGCACAGAAACAGTTATACTGCTTTATACGCATGTAGTGAGTAAGGAAGTAGGGCATTCTGAGTATTTTTTGATTATCACGTGTTAACTTTTCTTTGTATTTGAAAACACGCTGACATGATTATAATATTAGTTGAATCAGTTCTGATAGTTGCAATTTCTTATGTGGTGACTGGATTACGCTGAGCTGCTGTTGGTGATGCGGGTGCTGCGGTTTTGATCCATTCCGGACAGTATCTGCAAGCATATTCCACTAAAATAAGAAAAACGGAGGGAAAACCTTTTTTGAAGCACAGTAATCACAGGCAGGAAACCATGTTAGAAGAGCTTCCGCTCAAGAGAATCACGGGGCTTGTGCAGGAACAGGTTCAGGAGAATGGTACGACAGGGCGGCATTTATAAGCCAGGTGGCAAATTTATTCCCCTACTCCTTTGTATGGTTGTCAGAATAGTGAGGTTCCAAGCCACGATGGCTCTTGCGATTGGCTTCAAATCTATGGAAATTGAAAGACGCTCGTATTTAGTACAAAGAAGGGAGGGGAGCTTCTTGGCATCAACAAACCCAATTTTGATTTACCACAGGACACGACCACCATGTACTTTAAACCGTTGTTATCGAAATAGGTATTTGAATTATACAAAAGTTTCTTGAAGACAAAGGGTGCATGAGTCAGGGCTCTTACTCTTCATACAGATTTGGTGTGATATGACTACCACAAGGTATTTGGTCTTGGCTGACACTAAATCTCAAGTGAAGCTTGTGGACCACACTCGTAGCCGCCCTGGGCCACTTGGTAGTGCTCTGTTTCCGCAGATGATTACTTGCTATTCATTGCCACCTTGCCCCACCTTTTCCTTCTTCCTCCTGTTGGTCCTGACTTAAGCCCTACTCAGTCAGCTGTAGCGGGGACACTCTCCGGCTCTCGAGGCTATCTATGTAAGATCACGTCTGTTACGAACATATTACCTCCACCTAATAAGTGCCTTTTAAAAACTTCTCTTTTATATCAAAAGGAGAACGGTCTTCCAAGTATATCTAGGTTTTCGGGTCATCGCAGTCCCTCAACAGGGGACAAAGGCCTGCAACGTGATCGAAAAGCTCGGGAGAAGCCTCCCACTCCTCTCATCGCCACGACTCCAATAGAGTTTTCAAATGCAACACCTTCAAATCCATGCTGTCTCCTAGTAGCCATAGTAGCTAGTAAGGATGACCAGGGTAAATGAAGAGACGGCTTACAGATTCTTCAATAAATCATGTGAACAGTATGGGTCCAGTTCCTGATTTGCCGAAAGCTGAAGAAACCCACTTCTTTTCAGGTGGCAGAGCGTCTTGTAATCCGACTAGAAGATATTTTCTGATCTTTGCGACATCGACTTTCTCCTCAGCTGCACGAAATGTTTCCGCAATGGAAACCAATGCCGCTGGGCTCTGGGTCATATTTGATCGGTAATCTGAAAGATCACTTTCATTTAGTCACTTTCAGGACTTTCAGCGAACAGTTGGGCTGAGTAGAAGGCAACAGAGTAACTGCGGTATCAATTTAAGTGACAGAAACGCGCAGATATCAGAGAAGGGAAGCTGGAGCTTTAGGATAGTTCTCAATTAATCAACTGCTTTTCGAAGTGGAAAAGCTGCTCTGACAGCTAGAAAAAGATAAAGGGTAAAATTGGCGTCAACCAGACCTTTGACTTCCGACTTCCATTCAGAATCATAGCTGCTCATCGAATGCATATGTATCCTATGCAATAATTTGCAGTAGCCAGTCGATGTACAAGTCACTGCTCTTATCCTCCCGGATAGGTCCGCTACCAATTAGTTGACCCCGGAGGGGTGTGATGTTTGTTGGCGTAGGCAAGTGTGATCCGGGATTAAATATGCCCGGTCATGCGTGCGATAGAGCACATCTGCAGCAGAATTGAACAGAAGACTGGTTCGGTTATAGAATGGAGGGTCAAGTGGCGCCACTGCTATCACAGTGCACGAAAGTAGGCCATCGCGAAGAGATTGCTATCGCCTATGTACCGCAATAGGTGATCACTTCAATTTGTGTGAGCTAGTAGTTATACCCAGAATGAGTCAGGGAATCGCTGAATAGCAGTCTACGTATGAGAACAATTTAAAGGTCGTCCCTCGTCCTTCCGGAAAGGAATGGGGATGACACCCGGTCAATTTCCTGTCGTAATATGCAACGTATTTGCCTTCTAAAAAATTCTAACGGAACATCCATAGATGGAAAGCTTTGCGGGAGCTGGTCAATGGGACAACCTGTGTATTATTCTCCTAGGTCAACCGAGCCCTGTCGTAATCACCAACCCAGAAAAATGAGGTG